GATACTGCTAGTGATATTAGTACATATGCCATTGTTTTTGCAGGGGGAAACTAAACATGCCTGTAAATCTTGTCCGCATCGGGACCCTATAATAAATCAAAGTGCTGAATGCACTGAATGCGACGGACATGCAAGGCTTTTTCAGAAAAAAAAACACAAAAGATATAACAGAGACAATTTGTTCCATACAAGTTCGAGATTTGTAGAGCAATCGATTTTAGGTGTCCCAATCTGAAATCAATCAGATTTTCTACTTTCAAGCAGAACACGTCCAAATTTTTAAATATAGAATGAAATTTATGCCTCAAAACTCTTGTAAAACTTGTAAATCAGTGTCCTTATCGATTTATTTGTAAAAAGAATAAAAAAAACTGTCAACGAAATATTTCTAAAATAAAACCATACAAATAAACGTCAAGCATAATACATAATACATGCGAGAATGTTAATTAGAATTGCTTCGTGTTATATCATAGTTGGCTTATACACACTAAAATATAAAACATTAGTATTTTAATTTTTATTTCTCTTGGATATGTCTCATTAAAAATATTTTTGGTTAAAACAATCATCAATTAATTGTGTATTTATATTTTTTTTCATTTACAAGGTAAAGATGAAGAGGCCAGAGCACATCGTTTTAATTTTAATTTAAATGTCACTTAAGCACTACAGTGTTTAGTTGTCCCTTTCTATTTCACACTAAATTTCATTTTCAACTTGTTTGCTTCTTATAATTGTATACAAAAAAAGCATTGATGCAAAGCATCAAAGAGCATCCAAACAAGAAATGCAGCAAGTGAAGATAAACTAGTAGACATATATATGATGACAAGATATTCTTATAAACTTTTGAATGGTTAATTGGTTTCTTACCAGAATTGTATTTCACTTATGAATGAGCGGGCGAAAGACATAGTTCATTATGAACTTTAGTAGGCATGTTAGAGATTAGAATATTACTTTTTTTCCACAGGAACTTGAAATTTTATGAATATTAACGATAATATCCAAAATATATAGGTCAATGATATTCAAAATATACTCCCCATATGGTATAAGTTTATTTTTACTATATAGGGGGTATTTTTTTATATTATCATTAATATTGGTGATTTGATAGAATTTCAATTCTTTGGAACATCAAAATAGTAGACAAAATCAATAGTTCTTTTACATTTTTGAAATAATAAAATACATATATAATATTATATTATAATTGTTATTTTTATGGTCATAAATGTAATATCGTGATTATTAATAGAAACGGATATATACTATCATTTATAATCCATTTGTGTAAGGCATGATCAACACCACACTTGTGTATTTCCCTTATTATGTTATCGCTATTAGCGAAGACCCCCTCTTATGGTATCTGTTCACACTTAGTAACAATATGACACTGGTTATATTACCATGTTGAGCATAATTGTTTTATTATACAATAATTGTAATATTTATTTTAATATTTTTTTTACATATTTTATGAATATTGTTTTCTTTTTCTTTCTTTTTTGTGTTTTATGTGTTATTTTAATACTTTACTACGTTTACTACTTTTTTCAATTAAAATTGTAAAATAAATTTTAAGAATTCAATTGTCATATTGACCGACGATTATAAGTCAAAAATTAACTGGAAAAAGTCAGTAAATTATGGTTAATCTTTCAATATATTATATTGTTTATTCTTAAACCATGTACATGTACATTTGTATTTTTCTTTATCATTTTTTAAATTATCAATCAATTGAATAATTCATAAAATTTAATTTGTAACTTAGAATAATTCCTCAGCATCTTTACTAAACACGAATAACAAATTAAATAAAATGTTTCAAAGTTGATGGTGTCATATAAGTACCATAAAAATGTACCTCTTTACTCAATCGTTGTACATATTTATTGTTTTTATCTCATATAAATAAAATGAAACATGCTATTGTTGTTGGTGGGTTTTTTTGGTCGAATTGTATGTTTATGTATAATAATAATCAATTTTGAGAGTTGATCTGCGTTTATTAATTATTGTAACCAAACTAAGTGACTAACATTCATTTTGCGAAAAAAATGATTTATCTGTAACGATATCATTTAACATTTACTCGAAAACCGGGAGAGACCGGACAATAAACGTATGGTACTATTTGCCAGTCTCTAGTAAATCCCGGTCAAAATAGACCTGGAGAGACCGGGAATTACCGATAGGAGACCTAATGATTTTACGCTTTAAATGGGATTCATTCACTACAATCTGATACGCAAAAAATGGACGCGCCAGCAATCAGTCTGAACACTGTGGAGAGGTCTGATGACCTCTCCAATAATAACACACTGTGTACCATAGGAACTCCAGAACGGGACCGCAGATTGCGGCGCATATTTCCGATCGTGTATAACGGTTTTTAAAAACGTTTCTGCTACATCTAAATATCTTTTAGTATTATCCGAGTATATGGCCTCAAAAAATATATTATCAATCGAACCCAATCTGTCTCTTTTAAAACTGGTCAAATTTTACGGTATTATAAAAATGACAAGGAGTGAATTCCGCCATTTGCCGCAACGTTCGGCATGAGTTTTTCCCCTTTGGCTACAACTGATTACTATTTTTTCAGAATTATGTTCCCGTTATCGTTGTTAACTTTCAACTATCGTCCGGATATAACTTTCACGGTTTATTGCTTACACGTGTTGACATGTATAGGTGGCATTATAACGGGCGTATTCGTGTTTTGATTTGTTAACGTGGTCCAACTGATTTTGCCTAACAGAAAAAAGGAATATTAAAACATGATCCATAAATAAATATTTTAGGCACTCATTTGGTATTCATTACTAGGAAATGTGAAAGTTTTCCATGTATTGAGTGACATAAAGAGAATACTAGAAAAATTAAAACAAAAATCAAACATATCAAGGGGGATAACTTACGCCGAACGTTGCGGTAAATGGCGGATGTCACTCCTTTTCTTTTTTCAATATACCGTAAATTTGACTGATTTTTAAAATAGCAGATTATATTAAATTGAGATTATATAATAAAAAACCACCCTCTCGCATAATATGAAAAGATATTCAAAGGTCGGACAAACAAAATGTAAAGCCGGTACGGATTCGGATTTATGCGTCGCAAAATGCGGTCCAGTTCCAGAGTTCCTATGCTGTGTACTACAAAAGGATAAATAAAAAAACCCGAAGAGCGCTATTAATTGACGAAAAAGATTATTTCATATGAATATGTTTGCATTGCAAAATTCTCCAGTTGCTATTCATTGTTCGCGACATTTCAGTTTTGATAATAAAAAACCCTCATACCAATCGGAATGATCGGCTATTATGGCCGACGAAAAGGTCCGAGAAGTTGATGTCGCCCTTTCACAAAATCTGATTTCATCGCGCTTCGGCGCGGACGCCAAAAACTTCTATATTGCATGTAAACAAAGTAAGTATCCGCTGATTTATTACATGCAGAATGTGTACTACCTAATCGCTTGTCCGAAAGTCAGCACAGGTGATGTAGTGGTGATTGGGTAAAATCTATTTTTAGAATAGTGTTATCTATTATACAGGTTAAATTATATCGTGACCTAGAAAATTATGTAATTAATGCGCGAGATATTCTAGAACTGCTGAGTCACGAAAAACTTTTGATCTGTTAATAAAAATTTTTTGTTTATTGGAGAAATATTTATTTCCTACTTATGATTTCTACGAATTATTGAGCTTACTCCTTAATTATAGCATAATTTGCTGTCCTACATTTTCGACACCGGTAAATCGTTTCAGCAGTTATTTGCATATTGCGCAATAATACTATACGGAGCTACAGCGTTTTTATCAATCAAATACGTTCATATTTTAACTTGGATAACTTAATTTGAAATTGAAAAGGCTAAATATGGAAGTTTTTTTTAAGATATCCCGACAAAGTAAGGGAGTTTCATAGGATCAAATTCATGCACTTTTTCTTGGGCTGTTATTCGGTTAAGGACACTTGCTCGATTGTAGCCGACGAAATCCCATGTGTAGATGACATAGCTCTGAACGCGCCTGAGGGCGCGTCCGTCGCAAAAATTAAGATGTAAGTCAAACACGATCGCAGGACTCACTAACTAAGCGTTGTCTACTTTTCATAGATACGGGTAATGTTTATACCGCGGCGACGTAAATGAATGGTTAACTATGCACTGTTGAACCAAGTTTATGCATAAAAGGCTCTCAGAAATTTTCAAATTCAGGCATTCTTATTGGACGAAACGTAGGGAAAACAATCAAATATAATTTAAGACATTAAGAAATATGAACATAAACCAGAGTATCCTAGTGGTGAAATGAATTCGAACCTTCCTTTTTGCACAATTTCTGCTGAGTTTCCGCGAAACAGATACTCGAGAGCTAGATATTTTGTTCAGTCTGTGGCGATAGCCGGTGTTAAACGACTCTTAACTTGCATTTAACATTTTAATTATCTTTCGGAAATTATCAAAACTAATATGCTCGTTTGGCACTTTTCACTTACAGTAGCGTAAAAATGTTACGGCCAAATGACGACATTCAAAGAACGCAATTCATTCATAAATTACGTCGGTTAAAGCACGCGAGTTGTCTTACATTGGGATGTTAAACAGTTTTTCTGGTTTTTCTAGCAACGCGAATAGAGTAGATAATTCTGTGTGTTATACAAGAATATCCCATCTTCTATTTTAGAAAGGAACGTCCATGGTGCCAAATAAATAGCTCTCGGTACACTGTTTTTAAAAAGGCCTAACAATTATATGATTCACTTTTTCAAGACAAAATTATTGAAAACAATATAGAATTCTTTTTGAACAAAACGGCCGCTTTAATATAAATATATAATACAATCTTTTTGATCAAATTCAGTTTAAAATATATTTGTATCAAAATTGTAAACGGCACAGTGACATTAATAATCAAACATCTTACATCAAATTCCACTCATTGAAATTGTACACTACGGTACCAGAAAGTTACCTGTATATCGTTCAGGACATCTGCACGTGTATGACATGTACCCATCAATACAAATACCACCATTACGACATTCATTACTTTTACAGTCATCAACACTCCTGTCACAATCTTGACCGGTCCAACCTTCAGAAAAAAGTACAGTTGAAATTTCGTTAAATCTGATTATAATGAACAATAATCATTACTGGAATATGCAATCCTTAGCAATGACATCTTTACAATTACGTGAAATTATTCAGTCAATCTGACAAACTTTGTCTTCTCTTTAATCTTTATGGATCTTTTTTCTGGATACTTCGTATTCCCCTTTACATGTATTAAACTAAATATGAATGTCAGCATAAAGTGAATGTTAGTATAACATGTATCGATTAAGGCAAGCTTTCATATCCCTCTGTCCAGACATCATAAAGTTGTCTTGTATTGGAAGTCTTGGTTAGTACGAGCTACAGATATTATGTGTAACACCAAGTGGATTTAATGAATTAAATGAATGTGCTTGATATCTTTAATTTAGTCTTTAGATACTCATTATTTCCACTTGAAATGTATACAAACGACTAACATATGATACATTAATATAATCAAGATACATTCATATAAATATGACATACATTCTGTAGATCATTCAGTCAAATGTTCTGTACAGACCTGAAACTTACACCAAAGCATGTATAAAGTTTCTCTTCTTTACAAAAATTTTAATCTTACGCAACTACGCTGTCATACCTCTTTAAAATCCAAGATGGCGTCCAATATGGCCGCCGAATTTATGCAAAACTGTTATATAATTTTTATAGTGTACACAAATTATGCTTGTCAGTAAAAAAAGTGTTTAAACATATCAGAAATAATCAAATTATATATTAACCACAATATTAGTCAAGCCTTTTAAGTTCTTTTTTGCCAAAAAAAAATCTTTAAAAATATCAAGAAAAAATCCATATGTTTGTATATTTCTCTAATTTGTTTCTTTTAATATATATATACAATTTAAAAAATTGTTTTATTCCTTATATTGTAATTGACATGTTATTAACGCTTTGTGTTTATTTTAGAAATGTAAGAAAAACATAAAATATTGAGGGTTTATATTTTGTCGAAGCGGGTAGGTAGATTTATCCGATAATTATAAAAGAAAAACAACAAAATTTATAGGGGTAAGTTAATTCTATTTCATTGCTTTTTATTTACTTTTCTATGAATTTCTATGTTCCCGATTAAAAATATTCTTTATTGGATAAAGGTATATTTGTCTTCCTTCGGGTCAAGTAGGTGAGTTAAAATATAAATAAATACACATACAATCATGTTTATACATACAGTTATTAAATTGGTTGCGTGATATTACTTGTTTCAATATCTTATTTTATTATATGATATTATTTCTTAATTGTTATTTGTTTAGATATAAAATAAGACAATAAATCAACAAAACGTGCTTTAAATAGCAAACATTACGCGAATGGAAGGTATTAAGGTAGTACATTAGCATATTATTAACTTCTTCACACTTTTATTTTTAAAATAGAAAAATGATTTTATAGCTATTACAATTAGATAATGAATTTTGCATTCGATATCTAAATATACATAGTGAAATAAGGCTACAGTTATGTAAAAGAAATGTGCAAAAATGGCACTATTTCTTTAATATCTTTAAAGATATCTCTTTTTTTTTGGCAAAAACAAAACAAAAACAAAACAAAAATAAACAAAAAACAAACTTAATGAAGTATATATTATCTTTTATTCCACTTTTCAGTGACTGATATAACAATTAATTAACACATTTACATGAGAACATAACATAATAACATACGATTACTGATTATATACACAAAAAGCATGTCATACACAATGTCATACATTAAATAAAGAGTTACATTATATAGAATTATAACAACATGCATACACAATGTTAACTTATTAACAAGAGCCATGTCAACATGGCCATCCCCCGCCGAATGTGTTTACTCATTGGAAGAATGTATATGTAGTAGAGCAGAATAATTCCATTTTAAGAGGTCTTTTGGTAATGAAAACTGATGGCTATAGTGATTACAGATTTGAAACCTATGTGAATACTGATTGCTGAAAATAACAAAGGGCAATAACTTAAAAATAATGCAGGGTAGGTTATCATTCTTGTGTGCTGCATCCCTCCTCAGTAAAATCTATCCACCTATGAAGTTTCAAGTTGATACCTCAAATACTTTTTGAGAAAAAAATTGAATTGAAAAATTAAGTATGAAAAATAACAAAGGGCAATAACTAAAAAATTATAAAAGGTAGAGTTATCATTCATGTGCACTGCACATCTCCTGAGTGAGATCTATGCACCTATGAAGTTTCATAATGATATCTCAAAGGCCTTTTGAGTTATGCTCTGGACAAAAATTAATTTTGAAAAATAAAAAAGGGCAATAACTAAACAATTATGAAGGGTAGAGTTATCGTTCTTGTGCACTGCACTCTTCCTCAATGAGATTCATCCACCTATGAAGTTTTAAGTTGATACCTCAAATACTTTTTGAGATAAGCTCCGGACAAAATAGCATGAAAAAGAACAAAGGGCAATAACTCAAAAATTGTACAGGGAAGAGTTATCATTCTTGTGCACAGCATTCCTCCTCAATAAAATTCCACCTATGACATTTCATGTTGACATCTCAAACACTTTTGAGTTATGCCCCACTCGGGTGAAAAATTAAATATGAAAAAAAACAAAGGGCAATAACTCAAAAATTATGAAAGGTAGAGTTATCATTCTTGTGCACTGCACACCTCCTGAGTGAGATCTATGCACCTATGAAGTTTCATTTTGATATCTCAAAGGCTTTTTGAGTCATGCTCTGGACAAAAATTAATTTTGAAAAATAACAAAGGGCAATAACTCAAAAATAATGCAGGGTAGAGTTATCATTCTTGTGCAATGCACTCCTCCTCAATGAGATCCATCCACCTATGAAGTTTCAAGTTGATACCTCAAATACTTTTTGAGATAACCTCTGGACAAAATAGCATGAAAAAGAACAAAGGGCAATAACTCAAAAATTGTATAGGGAAGAGTTATCATTCTTGCGCACAACATTCCACCTTAATAAGATCTATCCAACTATGACATTTCATGTTGATATCTCAAAAACTTTTGAGTTTTGCTCCACTCAGGTGAAAAATTAAGTATGAAAAATAGCAAAGGGCAATAACTCAAAAATTATGAAAGGTAGAGTTATCATGCTTGTGCACTGCATACCTCCTGAGTGAGATATATGCACCTATGAAGTTTCATGTTGATATCTCATAGGCTTTTGGAGTTATGCTCTGGACAAAAATCAATTTTGAGAAATAACAAAGGGCAATAACTCAAAAATTATGCAGGGTAGAGTTATCATTCTTGTGCACTGCACTCCTCCTCAATGGGGTCTATCCACCTATGAAGTTTCAAGTTGATAACTGAAATGCTTTTAGAGATATGCTCCGGACAAAAATGTCGGACGGACGGATGGACGGACGGACGGAGACTATTTCTATATCCCCCGCCGAAAATTTTCGGCGGGGGATAATAAGACATGATATATCGTCAATGTTCGACATAATGGTATTTACTGAATATTTTTAATGCACTTTTACATTTATAACTTATCGAAAACACGAAATATAAGTGTCATGTATTGGAACATTTAGTATGGATTTATTATATTGCATTTAACCTTAGAAGTCTAAGATAAACATCCTCTTACGGCGCATGTTATTAGAATGTTCTAGAGATTACTTTTTATATTCCATCGTTAGGTCGTGAACGTATTTACAACATAGGTTGGTAAAGCCTTTTTGGACTTCTGGATTTATACCAAAGACAGCCAATAAATTGGAGCAAGAATGCTTCCGAGTTAATTCTAAGAAAATAGCTGCCAACTTCAGAGCTAAATTCCTGACCAATTGAATGTGTAAAACGTGTCCGTTCACGTGTATATGTATCACATTCAGCTAAGATATGTCTGTTTATATCACTAGTTTCTTGTAGACATTTTGTACAGGAATAAGATTCTTGTAAAGGAGAAACTTTATACATGTTTTAGTGAAAGTTTTGGGTCTATACAAAAAATTATTGAATGAAATATTATGTACGTCTTTGTATAGCGGCCATATTTAAACTGGCGGTCATCTTTAATGAGCAGAGATATTTTTACCCACTTCTGTTTTGAAATCTGCATTGTCTAAAGACTGAAAGATGATGTCCTGAAAGTTTGATGCATGAATCATCATTTGCACTATTTTGACATCAGATACCTTATTTTCCGCCTAACTATTAGGTCTACACTATAGGCACCTCAATGAATATTTTTCACTTTAAAGCAGCACGCCTCCAGATTCATGCTTATTTTCATGAACATTTTAAAAATGTATTTGAATGTGTAATATTGTAAAGTAACCAAACGGAAGCAATTTACACATTATCAATGGCACTTAAACTCCACGTAAATTACCAAAAAGTGATCAAAATATGCATAAAACCCTTTACTGCGTTAGTAACGCAGTAAAAATATAATTGTAAATACTGGAAAATCAGTCGTTAATCGCACATAATATGTCAAATATTACTTTAATCTTGATTTTTTTTTTTCCTTACATCTTAGTACATTTTTCTCAAGTTTGATTTTATTGAAATATTTTGCCTCATCTGGAGGCATGTAGCTTTAATCAGACATTATTTTGGGTATGTGATAATTACAAAATTATATCTAGCTTAATTACTGAATTCATTGAACTAGTTGAATATAATAATATTTTTATGCTCCACAATCTGATTAAAATCAGCTCTAAATAAAGCTTCGCTTTTAGATCTGAGCGGAACCATATACGAAATCATTTCTGGTGACTATTCACACAGCCAATCATTGGCGAGCTTGAAATCATAATTTTGAAAGCGATGTGGTTTCTAATTGAACAAACATGGCCTTGTCCATATAGCCGACAGGTAAACTGGCAAAACAATCTTGACCACTAAATATTGTCTCTATTTTTTCAAGTAATTTGTTAAAAATTACTTCATGGAATAGAGTAGAATATGCAAGATAAAAATCTGACATATATGACGGTCTATATGGGAATGCCCGTCCGCAGACTAACCGCCAATTGGCGGAAACTCGACAAAATAGATAGAAATAAGGATCCCTAAAGAAAGCTCAACACGACACAATTGAAAATGTTGCAGGCTTGGTTTGATTGAGCCTGTTCATGGACGGTACTGTCAAGTGCAAACTGCCGTCCAAGCCCCCTAGCACCGGCTTAAGCAGAATTCAACTTTAAACATGAACTGGTAAAAGTTAGGATTTTGAAACATCAACAGATGTGTTCATATGGCGGTTATCATGGAACCTTCAATGTGACACGTTAGTGCCATTCCATGAAAAGCGGCATATTGTCCCCAAGTAAAAAAATGCGTGTGCCCTAAACGAGAAAACAATGGGCTGAACTAAATAAAATGACATTTTGAAAGGGGATCAGAGGTTATGAAGCCTGCATATCACAGATATGACGTCAAAAAACATATTTAAAAAGCAGGCCACATATCCTAATGGTGATTCAACAGTATTCAAGTGAGGAATACTGGAACCACCCAACAAGAAAGATGCCAAATAGAGAAAACGAAAATACCACAAGCACAACAATAATGTCGTGCTGAACGATCTTTAAGGATCGGAAATATAACATCCCTGATTGAATGTACGGGGCGACTTTTACAGCCTCCACACGGCACAAACAACGCTGATGTGGTGATAAAATAGATAGAAATAAGAATCCCTAAAGAAAGACGACACAATTGAAAATGTTGTAGGCTAGGTTTGATTGAGCCTGTTCATGGACGTACTGTCAAGTGCAAACTACCGTCCACGCCCCCTAGCACCGGCTTAAGCAGAATTCAACATTTAACATGAACTGGTAAAATTTAGAATTTTGAAACATCCGCAGATGTGTTCATATGGCGGTTATCATGGAACCTTCAATGTGACACGTTAGTGCCATTTTATGAAAAGCGGCATAAGGCAAAAGCCTTGTTATCGCCAAATGGATGGATACCCTCGGGACAGATATTCCGATCCGATATAACTTATATAGAAAGTATGTTCTCTTAATTTATTTCCTTCTCCACTCTAGCCATTGTCATTATAATATAAAAATTGAGGATTGTACCGGTATATAAAGTGATTAAACAATACCACAATCTATGGACAAAGTAGATCAATTGCTCGTGTTACGACCATGTTACCTCATATGACACCTGCTATCTTGCTAATTCCTGAAAGCGGACTTTAAATGAATTAATCATGTGAATGTAAGTTTCAAGAACTTGTTTCGAAATCGAGCTAAGAATAAAGAAATATGTTTTTTATTATCACTGTATTCTGATGAAGGAAAGGAAAGAGATATATGACCCAGAAGGCGGAAATATTAAATGTTAAATCAATCTTCATTGTTTACCTGCTGTACACAATTTCTCTCCGGTCTTATTGTGACATGTATTGTGTCCTCTGTAATCATCTCTTTGTTCACAGAATACCGTACAATCGGGGCCATAATACTTTAGGTTACAATATACTTTGAATGTCAGAGATAAACTGTAATAATGCAGATTAATAAAAATATGAATCAATAAAGATTATTATATAGATATATAAGTATTCATCCATCATTTATGAATTTTATATTTTGTCAGCTATATTTCAAGTTCTGAAATAATTAATTGAAGTTAAGTATATTAAAATTATTTTTGTTTTAATACGTACAGGTATATACGGAATCCCGTTTCCGCCATCGACTTGTCGACTAAAAATAACCCGACAACTAGAAATTAAGAATAAAATTTCGACTTTTCGCGATAAAAATTACCCCGAAAACAAGACAAGTTGAGGTTTTTTACTCGATAATCATCACAAAATCGTCAACTTGTCGACTTGCACGAAAAGTTGAAATTTATTGGCCTTAATTTCCACTTCTCGTGTATTATCACAAGTCGACAAGTTGATATTTGACATAACACGACAAATAGAAATAAGCACTCAAAACCTCGGGTTAGGATGGTAGAAGGAAAAGTGGCACCGTCGAAGTACCTAATTAATATTCTGTAGATAAATAGTCATTTCGGGCACTTGTTCGGGTAAACGGAATTGAGTACACTTTGCATATTTAGCCCCGCCTATAAATTAAGCACGAATTTCTAATAAAGCGTAATCGTCCTGATAACAATAGACTCTTAATCTGCGGAAATGATCAGATTTACTGTAAAATAGCGCATATGCTTAATCCTCCTAATAAATATATGCGTATGTATAAAATATAGAAACAGGCTTTAAATATTCAGGACATACAATCGTGCCATAATGGTTTTTTTTCATTCATATGCCTAATAATTTAATCAGCATATAAAGAATATCAAGTAAGATGACTAAAGGATCATCTGAATGTACATACAATGTATACTTATGTTCATTAAAGATATATGAGGAATCACATTTATTAGCGGACCAATCTACATGAACATATACTCTAGTTTTGATAGAAGATGTATGAGAGGTTAATGTAAGATGAGCAGGAAATCATCTAGATGTTAATATACATTAGTAATTATGGAACATATATGAAGGGTCATCTGGTCTTTTATAAACACTGTAGTTCCTAAAGAACATATATGAGGGAAACTCATAGAATCTCTTTTTATTATGGAACAGATATAAAGGGGATCACGTAAGATGACCAGAGGATTATCTAGATGTACATACTCATTTTCATTCTAGAACAGATATGAGGGGACCGCGAAAAATTACAAGGGGATCATCTAGATGTACAAATAATCTTTCATTCTGGAACCGATATGAGGAGATCGCGTAAAATGACCAGCGGATCATCTAGATCAACATATACTATAATTTTCATTGAACAGAAAAAATAAGGAGATCACGTAAGATGATCTAGTGATCATCTAGATGTACGTATAATCTTTTTCCATTATGAAACAGATATAAGGAATGACCTTCACTTGATAATGTTTGTGTTTATAAGACGTTCATCATCCTTTGAGTGACCTTCATTTTATAGTGTGAGTGTATAATACTATCAGCATCCTTAGAGTAACCTTCAATTGATAGTTTGAGTGTATAAGACTATCAGAACCCTGATAGTGCGTACATATAAGACTATCAGCACCCTTGGAGTGACCTTAACTTGATATAGTGTGGGTGTATAAGACTATCAGCACCCTTGGAGTGACATTCACTTGATAATGAAAGTATATAAGACTAGTAGCCTTGGAGAGACCTCCACCTAAAAGTGCAAGTGTACAAGATTATCAGTCCCCTAACAGTGACTTTCTCTCGACAGTGAAACTGTATAAGACTACCAGCACCCTTGGAGTGACCTTCACTTGATAGTGTAAGTGTATAAGACTATCAGCACCCTTGGAGTGACCTTCACTTGATAGTGTAAGTGTATAAGACTATCAGCACCCTTGGAGTGACCTTCACTTGATAGTGTAAGTGTATAAGACTATCAGCACCCTTGGAGTGACCTTCACTTGATAGTGTAAGTGTATAAGACTATCAGCACCCTTGGAGTGACCTTCACTTGATAGTGTAAGTGTATAAGACTATCAGCACCCTTGGAGTGACCTTCACTTAATAGCGTGGGTTTATAAGAATATCAGCAGCCTTGGAGTGACCTTCTTTTGATATGGAGAGTGTATTAGACTCTCAGCACCCTCGAAGTGACCTTCACTTGATAGTGTGATTGTATAAGACTATCAACTCCCTTTAAGTGACCTTCAATTGACACTCTGAGTGTATAAGTCTATCAGCTGACTTGCAGTGACCTTCACTTGATAGTGTGAGTATTTAAGACTATCATCACCCTTGAAGTGACCTTCATTTTAATACAGTCATGCTATGAGGCTATTAGCACCCTTTAATTGACCTTTACATAACCGTCAAGGTATACGAGACTGTCAGTTTGCCAACCCTTGATATGACCTTTATAATTATGATCATGTTTTATATTAATAAAGAAAGAACAGTTTCCAGCATTGAAGCCAGGTGCATATGGGTGTTTGAATGCAGCATCTTGTTTTGACATTTTTCAGATACTCACAACTTTATCAAGAAACTCTCCTGATGAATGTAGCTAAATTGACATTACAGTACCCAGAAGATAGATTCACAAACATTCCATCATCAAGAGCTACAAACAATGAAGAAGGTAATCTCTCATCAGTGGAGCATGATGATGCAGATGAAGTTAATTATAGTTACACAGTCTCGACCAATCTCAACATCTTTCTTCTTTGCCCATCAATCGAAATCACAGAGATATTTGTTAAAAAGGTTTTAATTTATCTCAGTAGTAATCTTGGCTGTATATTCTATGTGTTTACCAATCAGGCAAAACATCTTTGAATTGTTGCCTGTGAATTGACCCCAGGATCATTAGAGGCCCTGCCCCGGGGGTCACTTCGTTTAACATACGGTTCTATTTAAAAAACTTTTAAAACCTTCTTCTCAGAAACCAGAAGGCTCACAGCTTTGATATTTTGTATGTACCATTATCTAGTTAACCTTTACCAAGTTTGTTCAAATCATGATCACAGGGTCATTACTGGCTCTGATCCTTGGGGTCAACTGGTTTGATAGAGCATCAAAGGGATAAAACAGTCATAGTCATGTGAGCGATACAAGGCCATGGTGGCCCTCTTGTTAAACATTATGTGAGAAACATAAGATGTGGTTGATGATAAGGAACATATATTTGAAGTTTGAAGTTGATCCCTTGAGAAATAAAGAAGTAACAGTAAAAAACAGTATTTTGTAAGGAAAATTCTAAGTTCAAGGAAATATAGGTGCTTGAGTTATGAACATTGTCACGTAAGACGTGGTTGATGATAAGGAACATATATTTAAAGTTTGAAGTTGATACCTTAAGAAATGAAAAAGTTATAGTGAAAAATATTTTACTGCACAAAATCTGGACGTCGACTCCGGGGCGAGTAGGACAGCTCTCCATATACTTCGTATAGTCGAGATAAAAAGGTGCTACTGCTTAAAAAAACATGCTAAGGTTATTCTAAAGGTGCTACTCTTCATCCAAATATACATAGGTCATTCCAACGGTGCAACTATCCCTGCAAATAAACATAGGCCATTCCAACGTTGCCATTCTCCATGCAAATATAAAAAGGTCATTTCAACTTTTTGAAAATATACATAGGTCATTTCAACGGCGCCACTATACATGCAACGATGCTAAGGTTATTCCAACGGTGCCATATACATGCCAATAAACATATGTAATTTCAACGTGTCATTATCCATGCAAATATTAATAGGTCATTCCAACGGTGCCACTGCCTATGCAAAGATGCTTATGTAATAACAACAGTGCCTCTCCCCATACAAATATAAATAGGTCATATGACGGTGCCGCGCTGCCACTGCGTATTCAAAAATGTTTATGTCATTCCAACGGTGCTACTGCCTATGCAGAACATGCTTAGGCCATGAAAAGATTCTCAAGTCATCAAAATGTTACAACTGTCCATACAAAGATTTTTAGTTCATTCCAATAGTGCCAATGTACATCCAAAGACGTTTGGTTTTCCAACGATGCAACTGTTCATCCACAAGTTTCACTGTCCATATAAAGATGCTTAGGTCTTTCTCACCATGTCATGGTCTATCTCTATCATTTTAACCTAACAAAGGTACCACTTTCCATTAATACTTATGTCATTTAAACTGTGCCCTCTCCATCCAAAAATATTTGTGTCATTTCGACGGTGACACTATTTATAAAAAAATGTTTATGCCCCTTCCAACGGCGCCACTGTCAATCCAAATATCTTATGGTCTTTTCAAAGGTGCCACTGGTAAAAAACAAAGATGTTATGGTCTTTTCAACGGTGCCACTGTCAATTCAATGCTACTCATGTCTTTCAAACATGATGACCAAGTCATTATAACTATCCATTTTGAAGAATAAAGATACTTATGCCATTAAAGCGGTTCTACTATACATTAAAACATGCCTTGGATTTTTAAACATTACCATTGTACATCCAAAGAAAAAGGTGAAACAGGTCCGTCAAAAGATGCTTATTGCATTTCCAAACAACAACGTCAATAACAAATGGCACGTATGATGATGATGGAATCTATCTGAAAACCGAAAAAAATACGTATGTCCGTGCGGGATTTGAACTCAGGATCTACCCGTGTTATAAGCGGACACTTTAACACATCGCCAGAAAAGCTAGCCGACCGTTGTTTCCATGAGAAAGACACCTTATCCTTAATCTGTGTAATAGTTGGTTACAAGAACGATTTCAAGAATGTTTCAATAAGCCAACAGCTAAGATAAATTAAGTATGAACTAAGGAAGTGCAAGTGTCGTATGTCTAATACATATATTAAGATGACAACGATATTATGGATCATTCTGGAGGCGGATTAATATGCGACATGAATATATTCGAATATAATTAGGTACTACGATGGTGCCACTTTTCCCTTTACCATATGTTACAGGTAAATGATCCATATCGGACATTTACTCCTACTTCGACAACTAGAGGTTTTCTGGTTAATTTCTATTTCTCGCGCTAGATTATGGATAGACAAGTTGACGTTTTCGCGATAACTGTCATGCAAATATCAACTTGTCGACCTTTTTAGTATTTTTAGTTTCAACTTTTCGGCATTTTCTAGTTGGGTGGTTCCAATATTCCTACTTGAATAATGTTGAATCACCCTTAGGATATGTTGCCTGCTTTTAAATTAGTCTTTTGACGTCTTATCTGTGATATGCAGGCTTCATAACCTCTGATCCCCTTTCAAAATTCCATTTTATTTAGTTCCGCCCATTGTTTTCTCGTTTAGGGCACACGCTTTTTATTACTTGGGGACCATACGCCGCTTTTCATGGAATGGCACGGTAGTGTCACATTGAAGGTTCCATGATAACCGCCGTATGAACACATCTGCGGATGTTTCTAAATTCAAAATTTTACCATTTCATGTTTAAATGTTGAATTCTGCTTAAGCCGGTGCTAGGGGGCGTGGACGGTAACTTGCACTTTCCAGTACCGTCCATGAACAGGCTCAATCAAACCGAGCCTGCAACATTTTCAATTTTGCCGTGTTGGGCTTTCTTTAGGGATTCTGTATTTATCTATTTTATGGTCACATCCGTGTTATTTGTGCCGTGTGGCGGCTGTAAAAAGTCTCCCCGTACATTTAATCAATGATGTTATATTTTCGATCCTTAAGGATTGTTCAGCACGACATTATTGTTGTGCTTGTGTGGTATTTTTAGTTTCAACTTTTCGGCATTTTCTAGTTGGGTGGTTCCAATATTCCTACTTGAATAATGTTGAATCACCCTTAGGATATGTTGCCTGCTTTTTAAATTTGTCTTTTGACGTCTTATCTGTGATATGCAGGCTTCATAACCTCTGATCCCCTTTCAAAATTCCATTTTATTTAGTTCCGCCCATTGTTTTCTCGTTTAGGGCACACGCTTTTTATTACTTGGGGACCATACGCCGCTTTTCATGGAATGGCACGGTAGTGTCACATTGAAGGTTCCATGATAACCGCCGTATGAACACATCTGCGGATGTTTCTAAATTCAAAATTTTACCATTTCATGTTTAAATGTTGAATTCTGCTTAAGCCGGTGCTAGGGGGCGTGGACGGTAAATTGCACTTTCCAGTACCGTCCATGAACAGGCTCAATCAAACCGAGCCTGCAACATTTTCAATTTTGTCGTGTTGGGCTTTCTTTAGGGATTCTGTATTTATCTATTTTATGGTCACATCCGTGTTATTTGTGCCGTGTGGCGGCTGTAAAAAGTCTCCCCGTACATTTAATCAATGATGTTATATTTTCGATCCTTAAGGATTGTTCAGCACGACATTATTGTTGTGCTTGTGGTATTTTTAGTTTCAACTTTTCGGCATTTTTCTAGTTGGGTGGTTCCAATATTCCTACTTGAATAATGTTGAATCACCCTTAGGATATGTTGCCTGCTTTTTAAATTTGTCTTTTGACGTCTTATCTGTGAAATGCAGGCTTCATAACCTCTGATCCCCTTTCAAAATTCCATTTTATTTAGTTCCGCCCATTGTTTTCTCGTTTAGGGCACACGCTTTTTATTACTTGGGGACCATACGCCGCTTTTCATGGAATGGCACGGAAGTGTCACATTGAAGGTTCCATGATAACCGCCGTATGAACACATCTGCGGATGTTTCTAAATTCAAAATTTTACCATTTCATGTTTAAATGTTGAATTCTGCTTAAGCCGGTGCTAGGGGCGTGGACGGTAAATTGCACTTTCCAGTACCGTCCATGAACAGGCTCAATCAAACCGAGCCTGCAACATTTTCAATTTTGTCGTGTTGGGCTTTCTTTAGGGATTCTGTATTTATCTATTTTTTTGATAATACGCGACAAGTGGAAATTAAAATGATTTAACATCTACTTTTCGTGCTAATTTATAAGTCGACATGTTGACGATTTTGTGACAATTATCGAGTCAAAAACCTCAACTTGTCTTGTTTTCGGGGTACGTGTTTACCGCGAAAAGTCGAAATTTTATTATTAATTTCTAGTTGTTGGGTTATTTTTTTAGTCGACAAGTCGATGGCGGAAACGGGATTCCGTAGGTATATAATCAAAGGATAATTATGTTGTAGCAGCTTTCTGAGGCCATGTATTTTACTTGCATCGAATTAAAACTTATATCTCGCTAGTTTGCACGCTGCTCTTAGCAAAATACAAAGCCTCAGAAAGAAACTACAACATTATATTACGTATTTACCCCCAGAAACATGTACGTTTAATTTTATAATATGCCATACCATGACATGTCTATTTAGCTTTTCTATGTCCCTACGTGTCTAGATTCTACCTAAGTAGTCTGTCACACCACGTGTCTTTTTTAGTTTTCTTTGTACCCGAGCATAAGTATTTGTGGTTATATGAATAGTTAAATTTGTCATAATGTGCTGTAGGTGCGTTAACAATTACATCATTTTTTTGTCGTTCTGTAAAACTATTAACACATGTACACATAAATGACTTATGTACACATAAATGACTTTTAAAGGAATGTTATTTTCAGAACTTTATTTCACATACACGTTATGTCATAACATTAAAGATTTTACCTCGTTCGATTATGTATTGCAACATTTTTTTCTCCAGCGGTTGATCTAGACCTTGACGGTGTCTGCTCTATGAATGTCTGGTGGAAACTTACAAAGTCGTTTTTTTTCAGATTATCAAAATCTTCTACCCGAACCTTCAGTTTCATTGATCCCTTGTAAATAAAAAAATCGTAGCTTCGTGAGTTATAAAAATGCAATTTAAATATCAACTTTTTTTCAAAGAGTAAATACTGTACTCCCTCAAACAGAGTGAATATAGATCTAGTTGCTTGAAATAAAACGTTGGAATTTATTAACAACTTCTCTAATCCGCTTATATAAGAGTTTTCTCCATCGATTCCTTCAACTGCATTCAGTACAAATTACTGAATTAATAATTACTAAAATTATTTTTAAATGTTATTAAATTAGATCTATCACCATTTTGAGGTGTGTTTTTTTATTTATTCGTGTGTGTTTTTTCTATCAGTAGCCTGTATATATTTATGTATCTTTTAAACCTTTAAATATCTTACCGGCCATTTTGAGAATGAAAATACCATGGGGTTGTCAGTCCCACCGATACTATTATCAAACGTGATCACGTTGTTATCTACAATTTTTCCTGTCCGAATAGAGCCATACTCACATGATGACATGCTTGATGGACTGTACCGTCAAATATGACGTAATTATGATTCATAAAATGGCAAAAGAATGAAAAAAGTTTATTGAATAAAGTGATAATAATGTACATATGACAGATTTTGAACAATTCACTGGGAAAATGTAGCAAGTATGAGTTAGTTGTTAATATGTGATTTAAAGTTTTGAATTGTACATAGATTACTATAATCATAAAAAACAGGATGGTGGAAATTAAAATTTTTAATACATGAATTGTAGTGAAACTTACTTTAGAGGTAAAAATGTTACTTAGGTAAATAAAAAAACAATAGATTAGCAACAGCATTATTGAGTGACATATCAAAGTTTAAAAAACGTGTAGCACTACAAAAACTGGATTAGCACTATAAATAGTTTTCTAAACTTTAAAAGAATAGATCTAAATGTTTTAGATGTATTCTAAAAGAAATAAAAGCAATAAAAATGATTCAAATTGGATTAACATACCCATTGCGGTCATCCAAGCACAATATAAAAACATGATCACAAGCGCCCTCGCAGAAAACAAAAATAGCATCACAACAACGACCATTTCCAGCAACCTTTCCATCCGCGTTTTTAAACGAGTTTAGATAAATCTCCACCGTCCCGCCACATTGTATTGTCTGCAAGCATAAAGAAACAAGAAATTACTTTAACAAAGGTACTCGTCCGGAGTCAAAATGGTTAACTTGAAAATGTTACTTCTAAGTTTTCATGTAAACTTACAGGATAGTGAACGTTATTGGTGGTCTCGTTATTTTAAGTTATTGTATATAATAGAATTAGTAAGTTCTTATGTAAAATAAACTGTCCACAAGAAAATATAATGAGACCTTAACACAGTGTAAAATGTTTTGTGGAAAGATGTATGCAGGCTTGGTCCTACTTTTTCGTCTTTTCCTACGTTTCCTTAATTTTTTGTTGGCCTTTCTACATTTCCCTGCTTTTGTGAAAAAAGCCCTAATTTCCCTACTTTTTTTCTGAAAACATAATTCATTGTTTTAAGTAATATTGTGTTATTTCATCTTTGTGATTATTGTGTACTTTCATCTTAATAATATTCCTAAGTTGTACACTGTATATTTGATGTTATATAAGGAAGTGTAGACTTAGAGGGTGTTTCACGGTGGTGACATGCAGCAAGTTGTTTGAATTCTTCTGGAAAATTGCATATCAGTAAAATGTAAATTGACAACAAAAAGTTTAGTCTTCATAATTTTGTTTTAATGAAATAGACATTGCAAATAGCTATGTTTCCCAATTATACTTGCTAAGGGAAACACTTATCAGACCAGTATAGTATGTACATGGTAACTGACACAGAACATTGCTCTGATAATTTGCATAAAAATCTTCAACTTATAAATTTTTATACAGTGTAGCAGTGTTCTTTTCAAGTTTATATAAATTATGCACAGATTTAACGTGGAATATCATGGTGACATTTATAATGATAATAATTAAAGGAATTAAAAGTTTAAATCCTTACATTTATATTATATTAGAGAATTAGGCTAGAATCATTATCTTTCCAAACAGTGTTTTACATTTTGCTGAAAAATCAAACCAAATAACTGTATTAATTGTTCTAAGCTTATTCTACACAATGTATTGGGTATGTCAAATGATAAATGTACTTTTTAAACACAAAAATGATACATATGGAAAAAACGTATTCATATTTTCAAAGGGATATACACAGTACATTGTTCTGTGTTTGATGGGCATGCTTGATATTAGCCGGGTTTCTATTGTAGTTAAATAATACTGACTAAAATGCCTTCATGGACGAAACAAAATATTCAATGTGAAATTGGCTAACACAAAATGATGTAATTGGCTACACATAGAAATGTTGTGTAAACACAGGGACGGCAACATCAGAATATTTCAACGCTACTGGAACTTGTTGTTAGGAAAAGGCCATACAATGCTCAAGTTAATGGCATTACCATGCAGAAGAGGAAAAAAACATTACACAGTTAAGCAAAGGCAAGCTGAGATACATTTGCAGAAACAACTTCACCACTACTTCAGAAAACAAACAACACAGTACTTTCACAAGGTTTGGTTTGGAGGACGTTTAGAAAGGAATTGAAATAAACACAAGTGGATCACATACAGACCTTGTTTAAAAGTCCTTCGAAATCCTTAGGGTGGTTTCAGGTTGTCCATGATTTGATTCACATTTAGGTATCATTATAGGTTATCTTATAGTTTTAAGGGTTTTTTTTTCTTGGTGCCGTAAGTAAAGACTTCAGTATGAGCAGGATACAGTTATCTTACATGCTTTTCAGATGATCTGGGAATTATGAAATACCACATTCACAACTTATTTCTTGGCAATGATTGGACTCAATGTGCATGAGACATTTTTTTACTTATTAATGAACATGTCTAAGAGTTAGGCTTTATGGGGATTGTTAGCTTCATGGCCTGTCCCGTTCACATTGTTCACAATGCATTTAGAAAACGTCTAATTACTTATGGTGAAGAGGCAAAAGAGCTGAGTATTGATGTATTTTCAATGGTTTATGTCACATTATCCATTTGAAAAAATTTTGCATTGAATCTTTGATGTGTTCATACGACATGTTGCCAAAGCCGTTTGGCTAACTTTACCACCAAGTCCTGCAGAGAGTTAAGGAAAACTGGGGAGCTTTGTATCAGTTCTTTCTTAAAGATCTCAAAGTCAGAAAAGATGGATCACACAAACATAAGAAAGTGAATTGCAGAGATACAGATGATTTGCGAGGAGCTGAAATCAAAGGAGACATTTGCACAGATCCCAATTTTCTGTTAACTCTGTCACCAATATTTGATGAATTCTTTTAACACAACTTTCAGGACACAAAAACCTCTCATTCACATCCTTTTACACTGAATCACTGGCCTTGTTTGAAAAAATACCTGTTGAGATTCATTGAACCCTTTGTTTGTAGTGTTCGTGTTTAAATTTTTGAATATTGATTTGGAAATAGCAGGAAGATACTGTTCCTTTGAATAATTATTGACTTTTGAGGCTCAAGCTAACCAAACATTATTCAAAATGGAACGTTCTAGGACAGAAAATGGTAGAATATACATGCAGAAAATTTACCAGGATGTCATAAAAAAGCTTCCTCGGGAGGATAATGTTGTAAAGAATCCCAAATGTTTACCAAAGACCTGCACAAAAAAAAGGATATCAAGATTGACAATGGCCTAAACCAACATCACGACTGATGACGTGACAAGAGTTTCTAATGATTGGAAAGTATACAGTGAAGAGGACGTTGAAAAATCAGTAATATACAATGATGATGAAAGTTTAAGATGGGTTGGTCAGTACTAGAATGGCATTAAAGCTAGAAAGACAACAGCAGGATCAAGGAAATTCCTAACTTTAAACAAAGTGGTGAAATCAGCACTATGTATATTTTATAGCAACTCATATATTGAATGATGTCTCATAGTAAACAAGAAGGTATTGATTCCTAAAGAGAACTCTTATGTCTGATGAGGCCCTGAATTGCATTCGTATTACAAGAGATGCAGTAACCATTGATGGTGAAAATGTAAACAGTGTCCAAAATATTGGTGAAATGCGTTTCAGTATGCACGTAATTCATTTTAAAAATATAAGCAAAGACTTGAGGAAGAAAAAGTTGAAATGGAACTATTAAAGCAAAAAACGTGTCAAAGGCAAAGAGAGAATGATGAAAATCTGGAGAAGGTTATGGAAAAAGAGAAAGCGAAAGACACAAATTGCTGAGAGAAGGAAAAGGATGTTTTAGTTAATTGAAAAAGAACTGGATGAGGACCTCTTGAATGCAAAAGTTAGGCTTATAGATGCAGATACCAGACTGGCAAAAGGAAAAAATTGAAAAAAAATGTCACTGAAATCAGTTCTTGCTCAAAGTATGTTAGAAGTTGCCAAAACAGAACCTAGACGGAGCTAGATCTGCTTTTGAGAACTGCAAAGTCCAAAGAGATGACATCGAAGATTGCTGAAAGCCTGTCGAAACTTAAATAATTAACTTTGTCATGTAACAATGTAGTCTGAATATATATGCATATATGCAAATAGAAATTAGTAAGGGTTACTTTTTGTACTCTTAAACCTATTACCTGTAGTGATATTTATTTAGATTTTAATCTTTGTAAATTACCAAGCACATGTGTATATAGTCTAGACTGTTTCTATATTGTCTTGATCTCCGCATTGCTCATTTAAAATTGAAGTGGATTGGTCTAAAACTGGCACATATTTACAAAGGTTTTTCAAATATATCTTAGATCAATAGAAATGTGCCCTTAAAATATTCTTTTGAAACATACATGTTAACTCTTCCAATTTAAGCAGAAGACTCACTCTTTCTTCTGTCATTTTTTATATTTTTTCTTTAAAATAATGATTACTTTGAACAAGAATCTTGTTTCCTTGTTGAATCTTTGTTTTTCATATTTTTATGCTCACCCAACCGTGTTGTTTGTGCCGTTGTGGCGGCTGTAAAAAAGTTCTTCCCCGTACATGCCCCAATCAATGTTGTTATATTTTCATTTCCTCAAGGGATTGTCGGCGTTCAGTGTCGGTGGTCCCCCTCCATGTCCCAGCCTTCATAGACTAATGCCGTTTTATTATTTTATTTCCACTTTATTATATTTTTTTATACCCCAAAATTTTCTTTTAATCTTACCCTTTTGCAGGTTCTGTGTACACTGTGGCACTTATACTCTAGTCTTCGTTTACTTTAAATTAATTTTTGGTGCCCCACTGGACACGGAATCATTTTTT